TGCAGTGATTTAGTTGCAAAATGAAAAACATACATTAGACGTTCAATTAGAAAGACACTTTAATGCAATGGTATAAGATACAGCTACAATTTCAGATCACATACTTTTTGATTAGCAAGTGGTAATAATTGTTAAAGTCAGATAGAAATCTGAAACACTAGCAAGATCAGTGGGTTGGGATCTTACAAATGCTATTGAAGCTACAATTAAAACTTCATTGCTGTGGCTCAACTTGTCCAGTATGTTTGAATTAAGGTAGTCAGACTCCTGTTAAAGTTTGAAAACTCGGATTTTAATTGAAATTTAGATTAAAAATAACACATTAGGTACATCATTCATGCTAACCAATGCACATAGTGGTGACTCAAGCACAGAAAAGCAGTACCACAAATAAACCATGGCTCAAAATCTACGCTAGCTGGAGTGCCACAGCCGCTCTCCCTGTGCAAGGCGGCTGCAGTGCGAGTGCTCAGCCTCGGAGGGGCTCTGTCCTTTCCTTCAGGCAGGCACCAGCGCCCGCTGCTTGCAAGGCAGACTTGAACTCCTCTGCCGCTGGATACTCTGATGCGGGATAATAATGCAACACGAAAATGATATGGCTGTAAAAAAAGTATCTCGGAATCCAAGAGAAATTTTATTGAACAAAACAGATGCAGAGGTGATACAGACAACCCAGAAATAGCTCAGTAGCAACGTGTTTTTGCAGTGCCACGTTAGAAGTAAAGCACATTAGGAAACTTTACTGACCCTTTTCAGCTTTAAGATTGTGTATTGCCAGGGATGGACACAGCTTTACATTCTCATTGTCTGTATTATGTAGATCTTAGCATTTCAAATCAATCTAGAAGAGATTATTGTAAAATCTTTAAGATGCTGTTGCTAATGTTGTATTAATCTGCAAAATAAGTGATTCTATTGCATTACTCTGCTTTACTGTGTCCACACCATCGTAAGCTTCAGCCATTTCTTCCCTGGGAAGTCCCTTTTCAAATATCTTGTTTAAAAGCAAAAACTTAAGGAGGGAAGAAAAAAAAACAAACCACAACAAAACCCATTCCTGGTATTGCACATCTCACACAAGTTTGTGTATATATATATACATATAGTTAGATAGATAGATATATGTATTTTTTTAAATATGCTACAATAAAAAAGTCTATGGCACTTTAGAGAATGCAAGTTTACGAAGTTGATCAAACCACAGATACTTGAAGAATTCTTCAATACCACAAAGTTAAACTGAACTAATTGGCACACAGGTTTTAAAGAATCCACAGCAAATTATTCTAGAACCTATGCAGTGCATGTATGTTAAGAAGCAGTTAGACTCTGCAGCTCCCTCATGAAATTAATTAAATTAGCTTTAAGCTGATTTATATATTTTTCCTCCCTGTCAAAAAAAAAACAAAACCCAACAAAAAGCAACCTTTGAAAGCTATTGCTGAAGTGAACTTCAAGAACAACTTTAAGCAACTGTCAAATTTAATAAGTGCACCTCATCTGGAAAAAAAAATAATTTCAAATGTATACCATCTTCTGACTTGCTAGAAGAACAGAACCCTGAGAAAAGAAATTCTGATTAGGTGTTTTTTGTGTTGTTTTTTTATTTTTTTCTCCCCCTCCCCCCCTGTATTTCTTCCCAGCCTGTCTTCTATCTGTGCTATCTGAAGGACATGATACTCTTGCAAGGCAAGTGATGATGGTGCAGAGCAAGTCAGTGGAAGACTAGCAGTAAGCAGAAAAGCTGGTTCTTCTTGGTTATAAATGCAAACAAAGGCAAGACATGCTGCTGAGAATACCTCCTTTGTACTTCAAAACCACAATATTGAAGTTGTTTGAGCCTTCTGTAGATCACAGCAGAGGTCTGCTAGTAGTGTAAATAAAGGTGGGTCATTGCTTACGTCTAAGCCAAAGCAGGATATGACCTCTATACCTTTTGGAAGAACTGCCCTTATTCTGACTAATCAAGTGCTCAAACCCAGGGAGCATTTGTCACCCCAACGCAGCAGCAAGATTTGCTGGCAGTGGTGACGTGGACGCTGGACTGCCACCCACGTGAAAAACCACTAAAGCTGCAGAGCAATTTCATAATTAATTTATAGCTGAGTCACGTGTCTCTGCTCCCCAGCCCCCTCGGAGTGGGTGGTGGGGTCTGGTCCTGCAGGGGCTGTGGGGAGGGCTGGGCCAGGCGGGGAGCTGCAACGGGAGCTGTGGGGTGGGTGCTGAGAGCGGCCAGAGGGGCAACACGGGCAGGGGTCAGGCACCACTTTGTGCCAGACAGTTGGCAGCAATGGTTCCAGACCATAACTTTTGGGGGTTTAAAATATTTAAAAGAAAAGTGAATTACCCGTTTTAAGCTACAATATGGTGGACATGGGTTGCAAGAGTAGGTGAATGCAAGAAGAGGCTAGATTAAAACAATCCCTTCTTAGTATCAGCAAAAGCTGACCTTTTTGTCTTTTTTTACACAATGGCTGGGAGATCACCTCTGTTTCCATCTGGCAGGTGGTAGGAAGGTGTGCTGGGCACAGGGAGGGGCAGGCTGGGAGCTGGTGCTGGCGGGGTC